CCTTTTACCCTTTTCCGCTGGCATCGTGATTCTTGAATATTACTGTTTGAACTATTAATTCTCAGATATACTTTCGACAAAGTGTTTTCGATTAGAGTGTTCTGAATATTTTTTTGTAACGGGAAAATGCAATATTACAGTCACGGGATTGGAACTTCTTGCGATTATTGTACCGTTATAAACACGACGAACTGTAATGCTGTCATAATGGAGACATTGATCCTATAGCATCAACATATCAGGTCAGGCATATAGTGTTAATGATAAAGCGTTGGGCCAATGGCTAAATCTCGTGGTTGATGATCGCTCTCCCGTGGTAGTTAATCAGTGGAACGCGCCTGTATACAAAGAATATCGGACATTTCGATTGCGAAAAGTTGGGATTACAGCCTTCCGAATTCACAAAGCGTCGAACGTTTTAACACAATTCACGACCAGACTATGACGGGGAATAGCACATCTCGGACGACGGGTCGTAACACTTTGCGTTAAAATCGGCTTTGACGAATTTATTAAGACGTGGGACGAATCTCTGCGCGAACTCGAAACTTTCAGCATTTTACGCAAATTTGGAAGGAGAGTTTGGTTTTTCGCACGTCCTAATGACAAATTGTCGGTCGACTTATTGACTGCGTTTGATCACATACTCGGGATGCTCTCTGATGGGCATACTGTACGACTTGCATGGTTTCTGTCTGCATTACAGGGACGCAAGCAATTCACATTAAGAGTCTGTTCCAACCACTCCAGAGTAATTTATATAATTTTCCTCGTTTTTATTTCATGGTCCATTTGATTTACAATAGAAAAAGCTCTAGTAGACGCCAGATTTATATTGAAAAGAAATTTTTGACACTCTACTCACGAAGTGTCTGCGTTAATTTCTGCTGTGAGATTTGAGTAAAATATATAATAGATTAGATTGTAAATCGGCTTCAGACGTTTCAAGGTAGTTATGCAATGTAGAATTGCTATATACCTTTCTCCGTAAAACTTCTCCTTCTATCTTTTCGAGCGATTTTACTCTTGCCCGCGCTCGCTGCACCTTATCTACAACAAAATAAATTAGTCAGGCGACTAACACGGTGAAGATTTCCCATGACACTCCTTTAACATTTGACTTGACTCACGTAAATCGGTCCGAAGTTCCATTCGAGTAGAAATCCTTAGCCCGTCGTATATTTGGTACTGCCTGGTTCCACAAAAGTAAGTAAACGACGGTAAGGATCTTACGGATTCCATAATCACTTCGTGGTCTATTTCTTTTGTGGAGTAAGGCTAGCAAGAGAGTAAAGGGGATATATTTGAATGATCGATATCCGACGTAATGCAAAAAGAGCATGTAGTAGTATTGTATCGTTGTATCGATACTTGTAACAACATCAAAAGACACATACCATGGCATGAAAGTCTGCCAAAGAACAAAGTACTGTACGAACAGGATCTGGTCCCTCAACCTGGTCCAGAAGATAACATTCCATGCCATGTTTCTCTCGCAACTACTTGAAGAACAACTTATCAATATATAGGGCTCTTCAACGCACACTATGTGAGATAAAGCAAAAGACAAACCTCTCGGAGCGGAATTGGCGGCCTAAATTTTTCTAAAACTTCATTCTCGCAACATATAGCCGCTACGCACAAACGTTGCGATTCTATTACTTCTCTCGTAAATAATTCATAGTCGTTTAGTGTTTGACACACGAACTTCTAAAAAACAACCATTTTACTTATTAGTAAAGAGCTTCCAGACAGGTTTTAGTATCGAGAGCGTACAAACCTTTAGCAAGATTTGTCCAGCCAGGGCTTCAATTAACCTTGTAAATCTTTCTTCTTTCACTTTGATCTCCAGAAAAATTGGGGAGAAAACTTGTTTTTGGAATCGTTCTTGATTGCGCTGGACCCAGTGTACTGCTTTATACATATCCGGATCGCTTTCGCGTATGGCTTCCAAACGACGTTCCTCCACGGCAGCGAGATACTGGAGCCTTGATATATTAATATATGAATAAATAAAATCATATCAAAATAACGATTAACTTCTCGTCTTTCTATAATAGGTGTGTTTCTCTCCCAACTAAAACTTACTCTGCGATACTCTGAAGCATTAACGCCTGTTGTTCGGCTTGCGCTTGGTTTCGAGCGTTATTGATATGTCGTAACTTATCATTTATTACGTTCTACAGATTTCATATTAATTAGTTACCCCAAAAACCGATATCCCTTTGCGAAATCAAATGTAAAAAAAAGACATACAATTCGATTTTGAATGTCTGTGGTATTAGTATTATATCCCCGCGGTGGTTCAGCATTCCAATCGCTTTTCTGTATGAAAACAAAATTTTAGCTCAAGTCTGGTAATCCTAATACTAACTATATCCAAATATTAACGTTGACTGACCAATTGTTCGAAAAGTTCGTTAGCATCTTGACGATCACTTTTGGACTGTGATGATTCTTCGATAGTGGCGGCGCTAATTGATGTACATATTGTCTTATGTTTAGTTTGTTACAGAATAACATAGTGTATTGACTTGTAATTTACTTACGTCGTTGCTGTCCGAGTAGCAAGACCCTGTTCTTCCTCAATGCCATTACTGTTCAACGATGCAACCTCCTCTTGTTCGTATTCATTTACGGGTCGAGTTTCTGGCGTAGCAGATTGGCTTCCCCGAAGCAGCACCACCTCCTCATTCGCACTCTAAGTCAATAATTATTTCGATGGTGAGAGCACGTTTGTGATAATCATAAAAGTGTACTGCTTCTTAACGTACCTGCTCCTCCCTGACTATTACTATGTCTTCTTGTGAGAGGAATTGACTAAAAACATGCATTTATATTTAAGATTAGACATCACGTGGTTTATTAGTTAAGGGTTACACGGATAATGTTAATATTAATATTAATATGTGGATTTATGGTGTTAACCTAGTCTAATATTAAGCATATTATCTATGATCCCCATTGTGCAACTATGTTTATCAAACGCATAGAATTCGGACTGAATAACTTACTCATCGTTGACTGAATTATTGGACATTTTGAAGAGTAATGTGTGGAGAGTAATGTGAAGAGTAATGTGTGGAGATTAATGTGAAGAGTAATGTGTGGAGAGTAATGTGTGGAGAGTAATGTGAAGAGTAATGTGGAGAGTAATGTGTGGAGAGTAATGTGGAGAGTAATGTGTGGAGAGTAATTGTTGACTGGTGGATTCTTAATTTAGCCGATAAGACTGGAGCAAAAAACGTCGTGCAACTCGCGAGCTTAAATATAAATTTTGGATCCCGTGATGCCCAATTTGTGCAATGACAAAATCAGTTGTTTTTTCTATTGAGTGTATTCTAAAAAATGTCTGGCAATTAAATTTATTTTATTCACGTACGTTAGCAGTAGTATTAGTATGTATTCTCAATAGAAACATTTCAGATTACAGACGCTGATAACAATAAGCATTGTTTGTTCATTTTCTATGACATGCCTGTTTAAGACAATGCAGACACAATGTTTGTGGTACTTAATTTGCACATTTTAGAAAAATTCCATTCAAAAAGGTGGCATTTAGCCTAAATTAGGATACTCGTATAAAATATCTTGTAACTTTACAAGCTTACGTGAAGAAAATACTTTCGAACAGTAGTATCCTCAATCGCCAACACTTTTTTCTACCCAAGTAGGATAAGGCTTTGGTGACTTACAGTTCATAACACCGTGTTTTAGAGATAGAACAAGCGACGGGCGGGTTGCCTCCTTTTCAATTAATTTCCAAGAAAGGTAGGCTCATAGCGCATCGTTTGTGTAATGAGATTGTAAATATTCCTGGACTATTGGCAAAGTTGTTATACAGTACCTTTTTTTTAAAAGACTTAACTTTACCATTAGACATCAACGTATAATTTAATTAATTCACGCTGCGGATGTTTCATTGTTTCTATTAGAAGTATTTTAAAGGGATACACTACATGTAAACAACGATTAGCCAATCCTCTCAAGTCTATCAAGTGCTTATCAAATATCAGTAAGACAACATAGCATGGTACAGTACAATACAGTACAATACTCGACAATGATACAGTATACAATACCGGCAGACAATTTTCCGCCTCAGCCATCGTTAAAATGGGTATGAATGTCTTTGTCTTCCTCACTATGAGTAATGTGCTTATCTATCTGTCACACGGAACGAGGCTTAGCTAATAGCGAACAGGTTTATCAGTCAAATACCATAATACTGTATATATACACCATATATACATATATACAATATACCTAAGTTGTTGATGCAAACATAAAATGGCAATACATCATTGTAAGGGCGTACGTAATATGCCTGCATGTTATTGTAATTTAAGACTTTCCGATTAGATGTTATGGTTCATACTGGCGTGTAATATAAATAAATAACCATCGGATCCCAATCAATGGAATAAAACAGATATGTACATTTTTCTTTGTTCTCGCAAGGGAGAACATTCCTTAAAATTTTACGCAACAAACAAGACATACTATTACGTTTAACACCACGTCAGCAGAGTTTATGTCAGCAGATTTGATGCAAGGCCTCGTCATACTTATCTTATCAAATATGACAACTTTTGAAGCCGATAACTCCGGTAATCATGTTGGATTGGTTTACTCACAAGGTACAAGCATTACTGTATTTACCGACAACAAACAATATGTGACAGGTCATTGTGAGTTAGCGCATTATGTCTTTTTTCGATCTAAAATAAATTATATGTATTGTAGATTATCACTTCATAGTCATCGGAGCGCTTCTACCGAACGTTTAGGAAAGTATGTCTGGGTCATTTGAAAGTTGCATAGTTCTCGATCCAAGTTTATATTAATAACTCTTATTACACTTCCTATACGAAAGCACCCATCCGTAAATTAGGAAAGCATTCAAATTTATGTTATCTGAACGTTCCCATCCGTAAATTTGCAACACATACCTACAACAATGGGCAATCAATTCGATTTACCAATCAGAAAGCTCAAGTATGTCCGGTCGTGGAGATATTACGCCTCGGGACATCGACACGGTAAGCCGATATCAAGAAGTCATAAGCGTTTCGGTTGAATTGGGAAATGCACATGGGCAGTCTACACTCGGCCTGTGTTACGACATTATAGACGATGATTATGGGGCTAGTACTTATACTATGTCATCTTGCACTTTATTTATTGTAGGGGTATACAAAGGCCGCCGAACCGTATCAGTGAGCATTGTCACATATTTATTAATCCATGTTGGTTATTACAGTTACAGAGTCCTTTCGAGTAGGGTATTACAATAACTGATTATTTGGTGATTTGATTGATATGATCTTATCAATTTTCTTTGCATGATTATGATGATGTAACGCTTTTCAAACATTTAAGGTTTGTTCCCATGACTTGAGTAATATCATTGGCTGCTGTATGTATACAATCCCATTCTAAATGGCTACATTTAAGGAAAGGTCAATAAAAGTCTGTCAGAATATGTCATACACAATCAGTGATCGATCCCCGTCATTATTTACTTCTCTTTCTACTATGGCCGAAGAGTCAAGCCGGCCACCATGCCTATATATCTATTTCCACAAAGTAAGCATGACAGCCACTCAGTTTTGATTTACGTAAAAACATCAAATAATCCTCATCTTGTCAATGTGAGTGCGAACCCTTAATGAAGGGGCGCACAGACAGCTCAATTTAAACGTTGGGCTGATATACATAGCGTATATCTAAACTACATTATATTCCGTGTACAAAAAATATATACCAAAGTATAGTATAACCATCCGATGAAAAGTCACGGGTTAAACAAGAAATTTAAAACCAAATATTAATATCAATACAAATTCTAAACTCTAAGTATTTCTGACAAAGTGAGGGAGATAGACAAGGTCGGTTAGAACAAATAATTTTCTTCAAGCTTGCGTCTTGATGGGACTCCAAAGTTTATATAATAATATTAAGTTTATTCTTTCACAACCGAGAGTACATTAAGGTTTAATTTTTGACTTATTACATCTTTTAAAGTAACATTTTCAATTAGAAATTTCATATATATATTTGCAAGTTCGGAAGTGATCGACTATAGTTGGCGTGATAATCGTGCGACGACTATCAGCACAATATCCCAGAAAAAAATGGGGCGCTGACCAAATGAATCATGTGCCAGCGTCTTTTGTGTTAATCCATTCGGTAAGTAGAGAGAGAGAACGGGTCATTATAAAATAGCCCTTCATCCGCAACACATCAGTCTGATTGACAACCACTTGCGAAACTAGCTTTCCAGTGTTCGGTATACCCTTTCTTAATATCCACCAAGACATCACCACTATAAAGAACTTTATGATAATGCCTACTTTGTGCACTGTAAAGTTCTCCACATCGAGAAAAACCCCACTTGATAAAATTTTTATTCAAAAAATTGAAACTTATCCAGCGTCAAGTAGTTTGCGATGACGCTTTGCTCCTTCCGCCCCGGGTCCACGAAAAGGCTCATATCTGAATGAAAAGACTCGCTATTTTAATTGCGGGGCTCTCAACAAAACTACGTTTTTCACGTGACGACCGAAGACGAATTAATACGACGGAAGTTGGACACCGCCAAGTGGTTGAGGAAGGTGCGGTCCGGCCAAGTGGTTGAGGGTGCGGCCAGCCAGGCTAGACATAATCCGATCTCCTCTTTTTCTTTTATTAGACAGTTTGGATTACCATTGGATTTACATACATAGAATGGGAAAATATTATCTTTACATATATGGAAAATTTATTTTCACATATGTAGAGTGCAAAAAAAAATACTACATAATTAAAGAACAAGAGAGATTTGGTGATTGAAAAAAAGAAGTGAAGTGGACGGGGCTTTCAATATGGCTAGGCTATCTGTGGAAGCTGCAGCCCAATGGAAGAAGGAAGCTGCAGCCCAGTGGAAGAAGGAAACAGGCAATGACTTTTACGCCGCAGACTGTATTTTAATGTTTTAGTATCGATGAACAAGCCGTCATTATCATTACAGAAACTCCTGCTGAAACGTTCTATGAACTCATTTCTCTTGTGACCAACTTCGATAATTTGCCATTCAAAAAGTGTCATTAACCACGCAAATTTTAGAAGAACTCCTCACTCTATTAGTCACTATAAAGCTTACGAAAAGCAAGAAGATTTTATGAAAAATCTTAACTCCATTAAACTTAACTCTCGAAAAACGAGTAATATTCATTAATATGGACAATTTTAAAGATTGGGAGTACAGTCTGCCGTGTGTGCATGGGAAGGGAAGTGATCAGGGGAACTTTGCAGTGTGTCAGATATGGCTAGGAAAAAAGTATCAGGAGATTGATTTTCGCACAAAATACCTGTACTAGTTAGTACCTTTAAATATGTTTATGAATAAATATGATACATTATTGTAAAATTAAATGTTGCATACATATAAAATACAATACAGTATATAATCGCAAACGTCGAGACAAAGACATCCAAGTATTATTGGAGAGCCACAATGTATAATTATATTCTATAAGTTACTATTTATTCAAAGGCTCCGTATTCTTTATTATCGAGCGATAATCTTCTATTATACAAAAAAGTATTTATTATTCTGTACGATTTGTCCGATTACACATTTCTTTGAATAATTTTCCTTTTCTATACGCAGCGCTCAGCCCCCCCCTTCCTCCATGCAGTCTGAAAGAACTGTTTGCGGCATATCGTAATCTGCTATCACATGTAAACTTTTGACGATATCAAACATTTTTACAATGTGAAAATAATATCATTAGACAACTTTTTATACTACGTTTGTTGTCCAAAGCATATACATTTAATACTTACACTATCAGCTATAATAGAATTTCTTCTTGATGGAAGGCAAACGTAAAATTGTGTTCAATCTTGGTAGTCAATACTTGAACCATTTTGACAATTGACATTGTTTGGATAATTTTGGTTAAATAAATGATTGCAGACTGTATATGAATCGGTATCATTTTTTTAATGCTAACTAAGTTCAAGAGGTAAATTGCAATTAATGTGTTATAAATATTATGTGCCCGTTTAGTTATTTTAATCGTTTCTATTGACCAACAGTTTTATTCAGTCTGATGATCAAGATTATGCAGTAAATTTTAAGTTTTTTAATGTAACATTACCTAATCTAAAACTTTTTTATTAGTATAGAAGCTATCAGTTGTGAAAACATAACTTGATGTCAAGGCCTAGTTTTACAGCATCTGAACAATTCACAGTTGTGGTTTATGTAGTGTGCAATTATTGTAGAATTTCTTGAATTGCTGAGGTTTGATCAAACATCTGCCAAGCATTATTAAATGGAAAGATATTAACCCACAGAGCAAATTGGGCATGAATGAGCTTTATGTAAATCATTTTAGTGCTGGAAAACAAATGTATATCTGTCAACTTATTGATGCATGTTAAAAGCACATCTTGAAAATATTAATCTCTGATACCAACACTTGCATCCATCAAACAGTTAAACATTATAACCTTGAAGTACTGCACATCTTGGAATGTAAATTCGCAACAAAATAATATATCAATATGGTTTTGAAATTACTGAATTGATTGTTTTGTTAGAATTATTATTATGGCCAGGGTGGGATAACATCTATATTATAAAAGAGAATCTAAATTGCCTGGTATAATTATAATAAATTAATTTACTGTTAAGTAATAATTTGACAATTGTCAAAATCCAGTCTTAGTCTATCAAACATTATGAAATTTGTATGCTGATAACAATCAATAAATGTCATTCTGTACTTAATTGAAGAAACCCCCCCCAACATTTCATTCAGCATTTGGAACAAAGTACATGAGTAGACCTATATTCAATTATTACAGTCGGACAAATGAGTCATCAAATACTTGATTATGTTTAGCAAGTAGAGTGCTTTGAATACTTAAAAAAGTATTGATAGATTAATATTGTAATAAAACCTTAAAACTCAAATGAATTTTAAAACCATGTTTAATCGTAAGTCCTAATGCAAGTACAGCTTGTGCACATTTATCATAATTGTATACCACAAGTCATGGATTGGCCATCTCAATCCAAAGGTTCTAACTTAAACCCAACAGAAATTTATGGAACGGCATATGCCAGCAAATCTTACTAGATTGTAACAGAAGAATGGAATGATATTTCAAATTATGTTCTAATTGGTCTTAGTTCAGTTGATAAAACAATGGTATGAGCTTATACTCAAAAAGAACGGTGTTTCTGAGTTTTCGAGGTCTTTATTTAGGCGCACATGGGTGATCCCTGATTTACTGCTGCGTGTTTCATATTGAAGTTTGTACTAATTATAATAAGGCTGAGGCTTTATATGTAGCATTCCATAAATGCAGTGGTCGTTTAAAAATTTTTGTAACAGTGTATCAGTATGTAAATTTAGAATAAATCGATTGCCGTAATTATAATATTAAAGGTACCGTAATAATAAACCGTACCAACTGTGTCTAAACTTTAAGCTGCATTTTAAATAATATTACCTACATGTGATAGAAACGCCCCTTCTGATATGCATTAATAGAACTAAAAGTAAGTATTTGGTAATGATGTGGGATGACGAATAAATTGCCTCATTGACGTCATACGCGCTTTTCTATAAAATGTAAGGTTAGTTGTTTATGCTTAGTAATCGTCTTGAAATTTTTGTGTACCTTTCCGGAAATCCATCATTTGCGCATGTCACGCAGCAATGATTACTCAATTGACAGGACAGAATAAATTTTGACTCGCTTTCTTCTCCGTCTTCTTCTCCGTCTTCTTCTCCTTCTTTTTTTTTTTTTTTTTTTTTTTTTTTTAATTTTCCTAAATAAGTTAAACGCTAACATGAGTACTTGAGCATTTTCGGAAATGATTGGTCAAAATTTCGGAAACGGTCATTGCCCCCGAGGTTGGCGTGATAATCTGATTCTGCGATGTCTTATCAACATGCACAAATGAACAGGGTTCCGGTCCTTACAGTTAACTGTGCGATGAGTGGCTGGATTCAAGTCGCAGTCCTCGTCGATCACTTTTTGTAACATGAGTGTACCATTTACTTTGAACCGAAAAGAGACTTTGACATTGTCTGCGTTGCAGCCCCTATCGGAACGATGAAGCGGATTTCTATTGATTGGCTCCGGTTTGCGTACACAAAAACGTATTGTCCCAAAAATTTCCCTATAAATTAGCATCCTCTCGTGTCGGTAGAAGCTTCACCGTCAAACATGTCTTTTCCCAACGGGATGTTATATACTACCAAACTTACGACAGCGACAGCGCAATTGAAAGCCTATGCCGAATTATTCGCGGCGACTGTTACTAAAATTAATCATCATCAGTCAACCGAAGGTGGGTTTTTTTTTCAATTCTTCGTCTTCAGTAGCAGCGAATAGATTTACTAAACATCAAACTGTCTTTACTTTGTGCACTTTGCAGACAAATGTCTCCACTTTACCGAGCACCTGTTATACGTTGACGGTGGCCAGTATTCTGACGAACAGCAGCCTCTAGCTCGGGCATCAAATAAAATGTATGAGGCTGCGGAGGCAAATTTTTTGTAAGAATGTGGAAAGTGGAAGGCTGGAAGAGAATGGGAGAAAGAGAGGTGGGGGGCGCGCGGCCAAAGCTGGCGGCCGAACGCTTGGCTCATGGTGGTGGACAAAATATAAAAGTTTTGTATAATTAATGTTTGTATATATTAAATTATAAATGAAAGCCTTTAAACTTAAAATATTACTATTTGTAAATTTTTAAATTGTATCTTTCAAAAAATTTGATATAAACAAACAAGCAAATGTATAATAATCATAGGTTTATAAAAGTTTCTAATAAAGCTGTTAATATAACATTCTTAAAATTATGGAATATTAATGTTACACGTTTGTAATCGATTCTCAATATCAACGACAAAGCGATCTATAAAAGAAGCGAACTATAATCATTGTGCAGAAAGTTCCTGTATGCATCGTATCAGAGAATTACGCTAGTCTTGTAAGCTTGGTTCCTTGTCATGTTGTCATTTACACGTCTAACACAGTAAAAAACGTTGCGTATAACTCCTGTCAAAATCAATTCCTAGAACGGGTCATAATCTTATGTATTTATTTTTGGATAATGAGACAAGACATGGTGATGTAATAATTACATGAATGAAAAGAATTCTCATCGTAAACGTAACCGCTTCTTTACACCTACTTAACTTTTTCCTAGACTCCTATTCCAACGAACACGACAGCGTGTTGACATGTCGATAGTTCTATTACATGGATGAAAGAATTCCCATATCCATAAACATCTGCTTAACTTTTCCCTAGGCTGCGAACTTAAAACAACATATGCTTCTTGCACGCTGCTTCTCTTTCTTCCCAGAATTCCATATCATTCATCCTTGTTATGAGTGATGATCTGTGAAAGGAAATCAATTGTCCTGCTTATTACCACGTTGATTGTAATTACACTTAAATACCCATCTGATTGCTACGTGACAATCGACTTCATACATCAAGCACATCGTGCGGGTTCCTCCACATTTTGTCTAGAGAAAAGTAAGTCGATAACGAAAAAGAGCGGATCGGGAATATGCTCATGCATATACCAACGTCAGAGAGAACCGATAGTTTCAAAGCTATACGTTGTCGAGATAGTGGATTATATATAACTTAATTTATCTCTAATAGGACCACTTCTACATAATTTTGTAGGTCTCCGTGTGTAAAAATACTGTGTCGGCATAGGCAAAGGAGAGCATATTGCACCAGAATGTGATGTTTATCTTCTTCATTATTACTTCCCACCACCTTCACCTATTCCACTCCTTCATTTTCCCACTATCTTCATCTCCAATCACCAATCACATATCGATCGTATCACTTTTGTCGATTCATACCTCCCACACATTATTCTGATTGACTTTTGAAGACGTTATGAGAAAGATTGCTTGGGGACATTGTATAATCTTGGTAGCAGGGAATGGCTATAACATAACGATTACGAAAGGAGTTTGGACAGATCACGTTATGCACAATGTATGTATATATAATATACAAGTTATTCAATTAAGACAGTGCAGCAGTAAATGAGATTAATACCCCACCCACCCATGTGGAATAACGACTTAATTATAGAATGAAATCCTGACGAAGACCCCCACACGCTGTTGCATTGCTAATTATGAATCGGGGTGGAGGTGCGAATTTTATATACATGCTCATTGTTGAAGACAGGTTGCCGGCAGTAATTACATGACATACTAATCGGATTCCAAAATCTATTTCTTGGCCATAAAATACAATCTTTCGCGTCTTTGGGGTTACAAGACAGAAATATTGGAAATCGTGTCAGGAAATGTCTATGACGATTGTGGCTGGTTTTGATCAATGATAGGGTGATATGGTGTCGGCAATGTAAGAGGAAGGAATTGACAAGTCGTACGAGAAATACAAAAGGACATGAATATTGTGATTCCACAAATGGATTGCTCCCGATCAAATTCAGAATCTGGTCCAAGTTGCTCGCAGGGAGTTTGTTGTACTATGCAGATTGACTTGATGAGTCTTTCAAGGGATTCTGCAACGATGAGTCTGGTAAAAAGCAGGAGAATTTGGGACCCACGAATGTAATCTGAAGATACACAAATTTTTATTAGTTAAATCCGACGATATTGAAGGGCTCTGGTAAGGTAGCTCTCTTCTACTTTGCAAGTTCAATTCATAATCACCTCATTACCGTTCGATTCTTCTTTGGTAGAATTTAATGTAACGAAATAAGAATGATTATCGTTGTTCGTGTCAATCTACGTTCCGTGCAACTTGAAAAACGATATTAGATTTACCTGGTCGACTCTTACATACGCCAATCCCGATCCTCAATTCAGGCGTTCGGTGGCGTCAAACGCACTAAACTCGATCCATACATTATCATCGACAAATTGTTCGTATGTTGGCTGAAATCTAGTAAATGTATGATAAGAAAGTTTAATATTAATACATTAATAAAGATTAGAGCAACTCAGCGGAAGTATGAAAGCATCAGTGTCTATACCTGGCACTTCCCACTCTGTCACTTTACGCATAATGATTCTCTATGACGATCACCACTTTCTGGCTGGAATGCATGCAATGAAGTGGCATATGGTAGGCTATGCTATCAGTATTGATTTCTGTCAACTAAAAATATGATAAGGACAAAGGTGTACAGTTTCAAATCCCGCCGTCGGGGACTGTCTACTCTTACGCTCTGACAACTCCTTGTAATTCTAACCCTAACTTGATATTATTTCCAGTAAATATGTAATTGCGAGAATTTAAGCAAATATCGTTATTTTGTAATGCATTTTCCAGTTGGTGTTCATATTGAAAGATAAAAAGGGGTTTTTTATCTACCTTACAAGAAAGGGAATATCATAATGGAATCTACCTAGTCCCAAAAAATCCGGAACATTGGCTTTATCAACGCCAATGAGTATGAAGTGAGAACCCAGATCGAGATGAGACATACAAACATGCCGCCACCAATCTACTCTTCATTTTCTAACACTTGAAATCTTTTCACCTCCCATTCCTACCGTATCATACACCGAGCGAGAAGAAAATTCTACTCTTCCTTTAATACTTGGGTTTAAAACTCGTGAGGATTATAACATTTCGGACAGGATTGGTAATAAGAAAAATTTGGTGTTTACGATAAGTGCCTGTAGTATGTTGTCTTTTCAGCTTGTAGTAGCAATTATATGCATTGGACGAAATCTCCTTATAATCCATATATCCCTTTCCGTAGACCTCTCATTATTTCATATGAAATAATAAAATCAATCTCTCTGGACTTCCTAATGTCTAGTTGCATCTTCTTCGATCCTACGTGTTGCTTGATATTCAAACTCGGGATATCTGAGTATGTATGTATTGCTGTCCGCATTCTACAGATTCTGATACAAATTGACTACTTTTTCACATCGCCTAGTCTATATTGAGCGGAGGCGCACTATTGATCTGCGCGTCGTTGATAATAAAGACTAATGTCCAATTGCGCTGCTACATATTCTTGATGTGCTGATTTCTCAAAGCGTTTGAGATTGTAATGTTGAAGCATCAAGTTGCTTTGGATGCTGGTGAGTGTTATCTCATTTCCAATCGCATTGTTCTTGTAGTTACGTGACTTCGACGGATTGATTTCGTAATAGTGTCGCTTGCTTAATTTAATGTTGAGTAAGTCGGTTCAAGTTGGACAAGAGTTGGAAGAACTAATTAGGTGATCAATCGCCGGCCATTCGAAGATACTCATTATTTATTAGCAAATCTTAAATGTCAGAAGCTTGCGTTGCGCTGGTCCAGAATCGTTCTTCAAGGAGGTTGTCCACGAATTAAACAACACAGTAACGTGCTATTACAAGATAATGACAGAGGAGGAGTTTGTGGGGTTGTGGTCGTAGTAGAGTCGACGAGTTTAAGAGTTATAGAGGTTTTGTTTATCGAGGGATTATATAAATGGCTGAATCGCCTCCAGTAATACTGTTTAATATTAATGCACTTCTTCTACTGTAACATGTATAATCGGCGCGGCGAAATATTTTTTGTATTAAAAGGCACGTGCCCAAATCGATTGATCACACTGGTTTCTACAAAGAGGTATAGATGATAAGCATTAACGGATGTCACGAGGCAACTAGTAAAACTAAATTCTATTTTCAGATATAACAGACAATATTAACTAACAAATTGCTTTCGACGACTTCACTACTGTATTGCCCGTAATAATCAATAAAATGTATAGTTCAACCAGCTGATTTGATTCTTTCTAGACGCTTTTCTTCCCGTCTCCGAGCTTTTGCGATTAGATTATGTCTTATGACACCATTTGTACCTCACCATAAGAATATCAACAAGAGAAAAATATTATTAATGTTAGTCCTGGTTGGAGAGCAGAACTTTAATTTGTCAAAGCGGTATGAAATCTATCTGACTACTGTTTTAGGGGGTAAAATTCGATGTCGCGTGACCGTACCCGTATTCCACTAATACATCCGTAGTAAAATTCGCGTCTAACGTAGAATGGTATCTCTCGCTAGGAGATACGGTAGTTATACTCATTGCATTGTTTTTACTTGAGAATATTTAACGATGACTTATTTAACTTGCACAGTGAGAGGGAAATTATTACATATCACTATTAGCGATCTAATTTATTGGTTATCTTGAGAACCTAGAGTCGTTAATACTTTTTACGAGGGTTTTATTTTCTAACGATTGTTTGGGTTTCGAATTAAGTATTGGAGTCGTTAACGCGGTATTCTAAAGACTGGATAGGATTTCTTTTAAGAACTGATGAACTAGATCAATTCGTTATGGTATTTGTATTCAAGAGCCAAACACTTAGAGTATTTTGTATTTTTGGCCATACCACGGTTAGGACGAGACTATATTTCTTAGAGCAGATAGTACACTTAAGTACGTAATCTTTATCCTTCCTCTTTCATCATGTGCAATATTAGGCTATTGAGATTAACTTGCATATACAGTGGGTAGAAAAAAGTCTCCGGACAGTTTGTATAATTTTTGTAGATCTTTGTTTATAATCTGAAAAGTTGTTAGTGTAAACAAAAGCTACTTTGTTTCCCTAAGCCTGCCTTAATATCAACTGACACAGAATAAAAGTTACAACGAAATTCTCAGAATTTAAGTAAATTGAAATTATTGGGTTATGGAAAGTAGTCTTAGTATTCGAAAAATTAGTAAAGTTCTAAGTAATAAATATAAAAGTTTACCAGTCACCCATCCAAATTTAATGAAAAATATTGTGCAAAAAACCCCGCGTAATACAACTATTCAAATTCGAGAACGGTTTGCAAATGCTACTGGTGTAAATGTTTCTGTTAGCACGATTCATTTTGACTGATAAACAGCGCGAAGCACGATTGAATTAGTGCACTGGGCATCGAAGTTGACTGGATAGGAAATGGAAAACTGTCATTTAGAGCGACGAATCTAAATTCGCTATATTTAAAAGTGATGGTCCTCAAAGAGTTTGGTACACGCAATAATATCGAAAATTTTGTTCCTATAATTTAACGTAAAGGCAGAAGAATAATGGTATGGGGTTGTTTTTAGGAAAGGTTTAGGTTCGTTGGTAATAGTGGAAGGTAAATTGGATTGTTGGGGCTATGTTGATATATTAGAAAACGTCTGTTAGCATATATATTCAACAAACTTTAAGGATAAAGGGTATGTTTTTCAACAAGATAGCACGCCCATTGGCAATTGGCTATCTCAATTGCCTGATCTTAACGTATTTGCAAACGCCAAAAAACAAAGTGAATTAAATGTGGCTTTGTAGGTGGAATGAGAGCAAATCTAATAAAGATTATGTCGAAAACTTGCATTACAAGCGAGTGATGGCCAACTAAATCTTAATAAATATGACAAAAAAATTTTAAGTGCAAAACTGTCCGGAGACTTTGTCTACCCACTGTATATTTTTGTTTAATACTTCTTAGTAATTAATTATAACCGTATTTCCAAGTTTCTAACGTCATATCTGATGTTCACTTAAAGGCTAAAGGTTATTATTATGCAACTAAACATTAATAAATATTTTTATTTGCAAACATAAATAAATGTGTTTCAAGCATTTAAATGTTGAAAAACACTCAATAAAGTTGTTATTTTTTTTTAAAAATTTAATAATAAATTTGTTTTCTCGACAACAAAGCAAGATATTCGGTTAAACTTTTTTGCATTCGATAGCATGTTTGCGTTTTCAAATGAATGTAAGTAAATGTGTATATTTATTATGTGGAATTGGTTTTTAAACTTTTAGGTCGTTTGGTTTGATTACATATTGCAATTTTTTGTGTACATAGTGAAAGTCGATATAACGGACCGTCAATAAAACGGACTTTTTCTCTGGAGCGGAATTTGTTTACCAAATAATATCTGATATGAAACTCCCAAGTCGATATTACGGACTCGTCGTTATTACGGATTAAAACGCTGGTCCCGAACAGTCCGTTATATCGACCTTCACTGTGTATATGTACCTATTACTATAAGGTGCACTAATCCAGTACTGATTTTACGGAATTGCATTGCTCGTTATGCCTTTAATCGCAAATTTAGAAGATGGTTGGTGACTTTTGAGACGGGAGGCAACACTAAACAGGAATACAAATTAGCAAAAATTGGTAATAAATCTAATCCCAACACTCAAGTGGTCATGTAAAATTTCTGCCTTACTTTAACAAAACCTTATCATTCTTTTCAAATTCTCCACTTCATACGTCCTTTGCTCATGAACTCTGCCCGTTTCGGCTATTGCCACTGCAACTCCCTTAGCCACATAAAAATTAAGCCATCCAATTGTACTATTCTCCTAAAGAATTCGCATGCTGATACGACCGCACTCTTTAATCCAATTATCCTTCTGGGTCCCTCGCTACGTTTAACCAAAAAAGTCCAAAATTGTCGATACGTAATATGTTGTGTTTATTGCACGTAGAAAAGGCTTCTCAAATCCGTGTAAGGGTGATGTTGCGCGGTGTCGGTTTCACTATCAGAAATAATTGTAGATTTTCTCAGTCTTACGTTACGTTAGTTGTGTTGTGATCCTTTTTCTGTAAACTGTTGTGGTCCATGTTAAAAGGGCAGTGGGACCAGCTGACCAAGTTGTTCGTAAATCTCTGCTGCTTTCATGAAAGACCGTCGACTTTATACAAATTCGATCCTCCTCCAATCCGATGTGAATGGTCAGGCCTCATGTTTTAGAGTACTTGTTACTAGCTTTTAGAGTGCATAGTAAAGTTCTAGCATCTATATCATTTCTGTCCTTCCTGCAGAACTCTCGTTTGAGTTTCTCTTTTGCCAGATTATACTCTTTTCCGGGGAAGCCAACACTGGCAGAATTAATCTTATGGGCTTTCCTCAGACTGTGTAATCCCATCCGAAAAGTTCCCCAAACGTTCTTCACGTGCTATTTCTGTATTCTTCGACCCACTAAAATCCATAGTAGCAAGCACAGACATGTGAGCTTCAGTATGTGTTGCAAACTTCTTTCATGTGGTTTTATATTAAGGGAAAATCCCACGGTACTAAACGTGGTTAAGCTCTATGCTGTGTAATCTACATCAGCTGTGACAAATACCATATTCTTCCGAAAATAAGCAACATGGAAAAACTGAAAATTTTTTAATAAAAAAGTTTTTTAAATAAATAGATTATCTTTATAAATATTAAATGTATTCAATTGTTTATTTTATTGTTACAGTAAAAAATTTATAAAATTAACAAGTCATCAGTGTTCATCCAAAAAATTTTATAAAATTGTCAGAAAAAATTAATCCTTTATATCAGACTCAGAAGAATATGGTAATAAAGTTAATGTTTCTACCTTCCCCTTCCCTACTGTTATTGCTTACACATTTCAAAAATAAAAGAATAACATATTATTGAAGACTAAAGTTGGTTGTTTTTTTCTTTTCCTGAACTTTTAAGGATTCGCATTCTTAGTTTTGTCATAAAACTGCCATCAATATCTTCTTCAAACTGCTCTTCACAATATTGAAATGCATCTTCAAGTGCCACCTTCCCTGGTTGTGGGGCAGATTCCTCATCACTATTATTGTTACCAATTGTGTTGTCACTGTACAATTTCATTGTCTGATAGAACATTAATAGGCCTTTTCAGATTTGTCAATGTTGCTGTATTCTATTTCTGCACTTTTGCAATATTAATACTAGTATCCATATGATCAATGAGTTCTTGTACTTTAGTTAGTAGTTCTTCTCCAATTTCTAATGACTGTGCAAGCATCAGTTTTTTGCATTTTGGTAGAAACACAGTAAGTAGTTGATTTCCCCCCAATTTCAGAAATGTGTGTTTTACAAAATCAGATAAAGATACATGCTCAGACAACACACTCATTATCATGTCATAGTTCTATTCCCCATGATACATGAGTCTGCACAAGTCTCACCAGCAACTTGTAGCAAGACATTTCCAACATCACAACCTAAGTTGATAAACTTGTGTTTTTTCTTAAGATTATGGTATCATCAATGAATGGTGTGAACTGTATAGGCAGCAGTCATTAGTTACATTCTGTTCAAAAATTTTGGTGATATAGATAGGGATTATAAGGAGATTTATTAATAGGTATATGTCATAGTTAGACTGTCAAACTAACTTCCATTTTACAAACCTTCTTTTTTGGCAAGTCTGGAAATAAGTCAACTTGAATAATTCATGCCAAATGAACTGTTCATCTGTTAGCCTTGATAAGTCAGTTTTGGCTTAACTCAGCCAGAATTTTTCAGATGTCCTTTTCATTATTTAAAAATCCTCAATAAGTCGTCTCTATTAGTCTACAGACAGATTGTCTCCTTATAAAAATCCCCAGCTTTAATATCATATCCCATTGATTTCACTTTCAACAATATATACAGCTAAGACAAGCTACCGTATTTTATCTACATGTGTACCCAGGGTAGGGGGGACATCGTAGTACATATCTCGATCTGTTTTTCTAAAATTCTATTGGCTGCCGATAGATTTCATCAAATGTGATATACTAATACTATACTGTATAGTAAGTAAGAACTTCGAATTAACATTAAAATTCGATTGTGGTTACAGGTAACTTTTTTTATGTCTCCCGGTGTCTCATGTCTTGAATTGGTATATGGTCTCGTGGATTCTATAGATGTGTTGGAGATGATAATATTGTGCATCTTATAGTGTTAAATTTTAATTCACAGTTTTAGCAAGTTAGAAGAGGGTACAAGTCACAGGGGGGTATATATGCCGGAAGGATACCATAACTTATCCCGGGTATAAATCAAAATTCGGTGTTCAAAATTGCCACAGGGTATAGTAATAGGCGTGAAATATGGTAGTTTGCAGAGTTATTTCAAACACAAATGTGAATTATATCCGACTTATTGAGGCTGACTGTGTATATTAGTGTAGAGTATCACAGTCATGCTCTTTTTTAATCACTCCACCATTCTGCACACCATCTGACCAAGGTAAAGGTACATTATTGCAACATCTTCCTTTCCTGCCCAATCAAAGTTATGATCATTATCCCCACCATTCGGAATCATCAGGTTTGATGTATGAACATCACCATGGACATATCCAGCATTGTGCAGTAAAGTGACTGAATGCTTAGCCAATTCCCTAGAGCCTTATAAACTGCTCTGGAGAAAGATATTCCATAACAATAATTTTCCATCCTCCAGTAAGTGGATTAACTGCAAAGAGCTTAGTATTAGGTGCAATCCCAACACTATAACAGAACTGATGAACTTCATCACCATACCTCTTTGTAAAATTTGAGTAGTGGGAACAATGTTTTCTTCATTCATAGCATCCACAAGGAAAAGAAGTTTTTGATTTTGTAACTGTTTTTTGTACTTGAAGTGGATATCCCTACCATTTATTGTAATAAGGATAGAACAGTTGTCTGTCTTCCTTGAGGTTGATAGTTTTCAAAAAACTTAGATCCAATTCACTATCCCTTAAACTGTTAAATGCAGTCACTGGACATTGGAATTGACTTACAAGATCATATAAGGTTACACGAATTTTATTATTTGTTTTGATGTTGACA